TCTTCATTCAGTCAGTGTTTACTCACACAGCTGGCACAATGAATTGTTAAAATACTGTACTTTTTTATTTAGTGTGTAAAAATTAGCCCTTCATGTTATAGAAAGACCCTTGATTCAAGAGAAATGTCAAGTCTTTAGGAAAATGGCCGCTTCTCAATTAATCTTTAGTTGATCTTTAAGATAAATCAACTTTAGATTAATCCATTAATCGATAACTTGCATCCCTAATTTGTATATTTAGATTTCTCAGTTGGAAAGAAACAAAACTTTGCTAGCTCACAGGGAAAAATTCCAAATTTTAAGGTGTTTTTCCTCAAAATCCGTTTTTTTTGGTTACTGCTCAAAAAAATGCTTCAACCTTTTTTAGGATTATATTTCAGACAGTTCATTCAAATTTGATAAGGCATTAATTCATTATATTTTGACAAAATGCAATTTTTGCACACATTCAAATCAAAACCCTGTATCTGCCTGCTTCTCCACATTTGACTTTTGGACTTAATCCTTGTTTCAGTGTGATGGGTCACAAATTTTATTCCCTCTTTTATTAAATTTCAATAAACTMAATGAATGTTTTTTATAAATCTGTACCTGGCAACAGACTGAGCCTCTGGGTATCGTCCCAGCAGGGCTAAGCACTCGGCCTTCAGTATCTTAAACTTGTGACAGGCCGACGCACACTCCAAGGCACGGTCCATGCAGAAGACCACCTGAAAAGAAGCGCAGCACTCTTAGCTCGTCTCCTGTGTTTGCACACATTTTCTAACACAAATACAGAAGACAACTTGAGCAGCTCACCATCCTGAAGTCCCTCTTCTCAAACCCAATCTCTGCCATCTTCTCATACTCCAGGATGGATTCTGCGTTCTTCAGCTGCAAGAGAGATTTCTGGTGACACATTGCCTTTTCTGTCGGCACCATAAGGAGCGTTTGTAAACCCAGTCTAACAGAAGCAGCCCCCCTTCTGGTAACAACGACTCAGCGTTGTTGAGTCGATAAGCCTCTCGCTGCGAAAGGTTTGTGCTATTTTTGCAGCGGTTCGATTCAAAGCTTCGGGACTATAAATAGAGAATAATCGTGTGGAACTTGTCGGGTCATGCTCTCCAGAACTGACGCCAAACCCACCTCCTGCTGGGCCTGACCGTTGTCCGGCTCCAGTTCTAGAACTTTCTGGAAACAGCGGCTGGCAGCCATGGCGTTGCCGAGGGAGAGATGGCACTTGCCCTCTCGCAGATGACCCTGAGACAAAAACATTAATAATATTAAAAAAAATCACAAACAAGCACAGAAAAACAGTATAAAACAAACTGAAAAAAAAAAAACTGTTTAGTAAAGTGTAAATTTACACTCTGACGTGAAGTGAAAATATCGAACAATTTACAGTCACCAAACAAAACAAACAGTTTTCACCTTCATGAAGGTGTTGTCTAGTCGTACTGCTTGCTGAGAGTCTTCTAAAGCCTCCCGGTACCGGCACAACATCATTAATGTAGCCGCTCGGTTCCCATAGTAACTCGCATTCTTTGGACACATATCTGAAATAAAAAAGCGTGAAAAAAAAATCAATATGTTTTTCCACCCTCTCAAACAAACACTGAATTAACAGATGCAGAAAAACAAATCTCTAAATATACTTGTAGAAATACTTACCAATAGCCTTGGTGTAGTAATTGAACGCCTCTGTGTAATCCTTTTTGATATAAAAAGCATTGCCTTGCTCTTTGAAGCCCTCAGCTTCCCTGTTTAAAGTGAGCAGCAAAACAAAACAAATTAGAAAAAAGTGCATAAAAAACAAAAGGCGACACATACAAGTATTACATTACTTTAACTCTACTTTTACACATCTATCTACCTCATTGTGATGCTTGATGCCATTCAAAGGTTTGGGGGTCCATCTTTTATTTATTTATTGCCAAATTTGTATTCAGTGCGGATCTGTGAATGTTTGGAATCTTCTGTGATTTATTGCAATTTCAAAGTTTGCACTGTGTAGCCCTGGTGACAATGTGTGATTATTTTACGCATCATCTCAATATTAGTTTTCTGCTAAAAGGTGAATTTATTTGTTAGCCAAGAACATTGGGCCTCATGCAAAAACATGTTCGTATTCTTATCCTAAATTTCTCTTACTTTTGTTCGTACAAAGGGTTCGTACGAACATGTCACGTCAGATTCAACAAACTCTTCTATCT